CGAGGGTGGCGAATTGGTGGATCTCGAAAGATTTCGTCAGAGGCGGCACTCGGATTCCAACGTTTCTCCTTCCACTTCCTGTCTCGTTTTCTCAACGCAAAAACGAGAGAAGTCGATGATCTTTGATCGTTTCCCGGGCCGAAGAGGGGGTCGTCTTATCCCGGGGGCGCGGGCGGGCTCAGCCGTTGCGGCGGCATGAATTATATAGAGAGACGTTGGCGGAAAAGTTTTCAGGCAGCCACTCGAGAGAGAACTCGAGGCTGCTCGTTTGAAGTTGCGCCCACTGATAGACGGAGGATGATGGAGAATAAGTGGAAGTTTTTTCAAGGTATTTATATCGGCCCGACCGTCTCACTTTTCCCTCTTTATTCCACGCAGCGAGGAAATTTGTTTCCTCGTGAAAGTTGGAGCCGAATCGAGAACCACCCCGTTTCGAAACGATGCAATTAAACGAACCTGCCTTTTCTTTTTCCTTTCTTTCTTTTTTTTTTTTTTTTTTTTTTTGGAGATCTTTTCGCGAATAGGATTCTCTCGAGTTTGAAATCTCACAAGTTGATAGCAATAATGTCAAATATTTAGGAATATTACGAGAGGAGGGGAATTTTTTTCGATCCTGCTGGTTTCTCGATACTCGATACTCGAAGGCAGAAAAATATACACACTTTTTAAGATTACTTAAAGAAGCGGAGAACTATCCATAGAGCATAGACGGCCCCCCTAAATGTCGGATCACAAGACTAATAATCTATTCTCGATTGAAGGGGGACTTTATCGATATTTATGAGGACAGGAGAATTTTGGAGGGGAGGGTCTGGAGATATGAATAACCAAGCGTGATTCGCGTTAACGGTTTATGCATAAAGCATCCGATCTCTAGGAGCCGATATATAGGAAAGTAGCAGCGGATCGAAATTCCTTAAATTTCGATCGTCGTTTCTTCCTAGCCGCCGAAGGAAGAATTCGGTTTTTACGAGCGGCGGGGAATCGAGCCGTTTTCGACGGAAACCGTTATGCAGCGGGCGCCATTTACGAGCCACGTAACGACATCGTTAAAACGTCTGTTTCCATCGCGTATATCCAACCATTATTCGAACAGTTGGACAACATTGTAACGGCGCCCCTTCACCGCATCACGCGATATTGCATTACCTTCGCCCCCAATTGATCTCGCGTGGTCCAGATTATCACTCGATCCCGGTCCAATTTTACCACAATTACGACACGTTCGAAGGAACCATCCCCTATCCCTGCACCAACCGAATTATCCGTTAAACGAGGCTCGAACTATAGAAAACGGAAAACGTTTCCAGTCGAAAGTCACTCCGAAACAATTATTCCCGTCGGCGTTGCCCGTTTAACGGCGGTTATTCTTCTCTCTCTCTCTCTTTCTTTCTCTTTCTTTTTTCGTGCCAGGCCCGTATTAATTCTGGAACAATACTTCCACCCTGTTTCACCACCGACAGATATTCCCTCTCTCTTTCTTCTCTTTCTCTCTCTCTCTCTCTCTATTCCCCCCCAGCTTTTTCCCCCACAGCGATTCGGCACATACCGCGTGCATCACGCGCACGCTACACGCGGATGCTTGCCAAAAAGCCCTCGGCGTCCTTTTTTTCTCGTTATCCGGCCCGCTAGATAGATCCGGGAGAGTGTTCCGCGAAAATGGCATTCCAGCCACTCGACCGTGTCCCCTTCAACCATCCAGAGGTTCAACCC